GGGGGCAGGGGTGATGAAGCTGGAGTGGGGGGTTCGGGGTCCAGGACCACGGTGAGGGTGGGCGGGGTCCTCACGGTGTAGTTCCGGAAGCTGCCCTTGTCCTTGGCTGCCTCCGGGTGCCCCTCCGGCCTGTAGACCAGGGAGGGGTCTGGGCCCTGGTTGGGGGGGATTGAGCCCATTTCACCGTGATGCCCGCTCCAGGAGGCAGTGGGGACCCCCTCGAGGGCACGAGACTAACTAAGTGGGGGGTCGGCAGCAGAGGCCAGTGGTCACCCCAGAGCACAGCGCCAGAAGCACACCCCTCTCCGGCCCTGGCACCCGCCGGAGGCCTTGGTGAGTCCTGGTCTGCCGAGTGGATGTCAGCCGGGTGCCTGCTTCTGGGGAGACGCTGTGTAGGGGCACAGACCCACTGAACCGCCCTCCCAGACCGGGGCGCTGGGAGCCCGGGGGCGGGCAGCTGACCCTTGCCTAGCGGGACCACAAGAGGAGCAGGAGGCTGGCGGGCACCAGCAGGGAGGGGACACCGGGGAGTGGTCAGCAGGGCCCGTGGGCACTGGGCCTGGGGACTCACCACAGCCACCTTCATCCTGAGAGGGAGCAGAGCTGCAGGTGGGCAAGCGTCCCAAGGCCTGTGCCCTTATATATGCCCACGGGTTACATAAGCGGCCGGACACCACCCGGCCCCTTGGCCTGGGCCCTCGGTAATGAGTGACCATCCACCCTCCTCCTGGCTCAGCGAGTTGATGGGTCAGCACAGGAGCGGCCCAGCCCCTTCTGCCTGAGCTCCGGACTCCCGCCCGAACAAGTGGCCACTTAGGGTGACCGGCGCTGTGTCCCACAGGCTCCAAACCCGGCCACACCGGCCCGGGCCCTCCCCACAGGCCCTGGGACCCCGCCACCCCCATCCCTCAGGCACCTGGGATTCTGGGCAGGGCCTTGTTCCAGAAACACTTACTCTTCCCAGCCGGTGTGGCTCAGTGGTTGAGCATCGACCTGTGAACCAGGAGGTCACGGTTCAATTCCTGGTCAGGGCACATGCCTGGGTTTCGGGCTCCATCCCCAGTGTGTGCAGGAGGCAGCTGATCAATGATTCTTTCATCATTGATGTTTCTTTCTCTTTCTCCCTCTCCTCTCCTCTCTGGAGTCAATATAAAATATATTTTATAAAAAGGAGGGGGGGAGGTCAATGGGGAAAAAGGAGACATATGTAATACTTTAAACAATAAAGAATTTTTTAAAAAAGAAACACTCTAACACTTCTATTTATTTTGTATATATTTTTATTGATTTCAGAGAGGAAGGGAGAGGGAGAGAGAGATAGAAACATCAGTGATGAGAGAATCATTGATTGACTGCCTCCTATCCGCCCCACACTGGGGATCGAGCCTGCAACCCCAGGCATGTGCCCTGACCCGTAATCAACTGTGACCTCCTGGTTCATAGGTCGGTGCTCAACCACTGAGCCACACCAGCCGGGCTATTCTGACACCTCAAATGGGAAGGAAGACGTTACTAGCTGGGCTCCCCCAGAACACAGCCAGGACAGCCAGGAGCAGAGGGCAGGGCGTTCCCACACGCAGACCCAGGGAAAGCCCCGCTGGAAACCACCTCTGCCCACGGCGGGCAGGGAAAGGCCAAAGCAAGAGGCTGCCGCTCACCAGAGGGGTGTGTGAAGCGACATGTACCCAGGAGGCGAGTCGTGGGCGGCTGCAAGACCAGACGCATCCCTACCCCGCTCGGCCGGGGCCAGAGCACGATCCGGGGCCGGGGCGAGGAGTCCAGGTACCAGTACCGGAATGCTCCCTGGTGCAGAAATCACGGTACACGCGTGACCAGGGCCAGACAAGGGCCTGTTCCAGGGACCGGCCCACAGCGGGGGCAGGGAGGTGCCAGCTGGTGTCGGAACCAGCACCGGCTGTGATCAGCCGCTGTGGGGTCTGCAGCAGCCTCTCCTGATCTGGCCCAGTCTCTCCTGGGGGAGGAGGGCGGAGGGTCCGTGGGAGGAAGATGCCGAGAGCGAGGGGAGACACCAAGCGTCGGGGGTTCTTGCTAAACTGACGGGACAGGATTCTT